GATCTTAGAAAAATAAGAGAGTGCAACTGGTTTTGTGAGGGATAGTGCTGTGCACAATGACACCTTGACATTTAGATCAAGATTACAGGGCCACAGCCAATGCATAACCTTAAAATGTGCATGATAATGCTGCTCAAATATCCACTGTTCTTTTTCCATATGAACAGTAGGTTCATTCCATTAGAACATAAAATCATTAGACCCCCATTAGAATTTAAATGTTAACATTTTTCCTTTTAGATTCCAGGAAAAAGAAGCACAAGTTGATCACCTGAGACATGCTGACAAAAGGAAAGGACTGGCTGACCTCTAAAAAAGTTTCCTCCCTGCTTTTTGGACTATTGATTTAAGCTTGCTGATATAATAAAAATAGTACCCAAAACCCACCGGCAGAGAAAAACCTAAATAAAAGGCACTGTCTCATGCTCTACTGGGCTCTAGCTGCAACACGCTGACAGCCCACAGAGAGAGAACATGCATATTGATGCATTGAGGTCTCCGTCTGTGTTTGTTATTTTCGTCAACCCTCTCCATCTCTTTTCGGGTACCCACCCCTCGCTGAAGCTGGGATTTGGCAGATCCTGAGCAAAAAAATAAAGCTGGAGGTATAACACTACCTGACTTCAAATTATACTACAAGGCCGTGACAACTGAAACAGCATGGTACTGGAATAAAAATAGACAATTGGAGCAGTGGAACAGAATACAGAACCCAGAAATCAACCCACATACTTACAGCCAACTGATTTTTGACAAAAACATACCTTGGGGAAAAGACTGCCTCTTCAATAAATGGTGCTGGGGATTGGATATCCATATGCAGAAGAATGAAACTAGACCTGCACCTCTCACCACATACCGAAATCCACTCAAAACAGATTAAATATTTAAGTATAAGACCTGAAACTGTAAAACTACTAAGGGAAAATATAGGGGAAACACTTCAGGAAGTAGGTCTGGGCACAGACTTTATGAACATGAGCCCAGAAGCACAAGCAACAGAAGAAAAAATAGGGCCGAGCCCGTGGCGCACTTGGGAGAGTGTGGCGCTGGGAGCGCAGCAGCGCTCCCCAAAGTATAAAAAAAAATGGGAAAAAAGGGATCTCAAGGAAATGCATGCCAAGAAAAAAAACTGTCAGGCCGGCCCGTGGCTCACTCGGCAGAGTGCCGTGCTGATAACACCAAGGCCACGGGTTCACATCCTATATAGGGATGGCCGGTGCACTCACTGGCTGAGTGCTGTGCGGCCGATCTCAAAAAAAGACAAAAAAAAAAAAAAAAAAAAAAAAAAAAAAAAAAAAAAAAAAAAAAAAAAAGAAAGAAAGAAAGAAAGAAAGAAAGAAAGAAAGAAAGAAAGAAAGAAAGAAAAAAGAAATAAATGGGATTATATCAAACTAAAAAGCTTCTGCACAGCAAAGGAAACAATCAACAGAGTGAAATGACAACCTACGGAATGGGAGAAAATTTTTGCAAACTATATATCTGACAAGGGACTAATATCCAGAATATACAAGAAATTCAAACAACTATACAGTAAAAAAAAAAAAAAAACCAATTAAAAAATGGGCAAAGGAACTGAATAGACATTTTTCAAAGGAAAACATACAAATGGTCAAAAGTCACTTAAAAAAAATGGTCAACATCACTAATCATTGGGGAAATGCAAATGAAAACCACATTGAGATATCACCTCACCCTGGTTAGATTGGCTACAATCAAAAAGACAGAGAATAACAAATGCTGATGAGGATGTGGAGAGAAGGGAACGCTCCTGCACTGTTGGTGGGACTGTAAATTAGTACAACCACTATGGAAAACATTATGGTGGTTTCTCAAACAACTACAGATAGATCTACCATACAATCCAGCAATCCCACTTCTAGGTATATACCCAAAGGAATGAAAATCATCTTTTTGAAGGGATACGTGCACTCCCATGGTCATCGCAGCTCTGTTTACAATAGCAAAGATATGGAAGCAACCTAAATGTCCATCGGTGGATGACTGGATAAGGAAACTGTGGTATATATACACCATGGAATACCACTTTGCCATAAAAAGGAATGAAATTCTGCCATTTGCAGCAACATGGATGAGCTTGGAGAAAATTATTTTAAGTGAAATAAGCCAGGCACAGAGGGAAAAATACCACATGTCCTCACTTATAAGTAGGAACTGAGAGAGAAAGAAGAAAGGAAAGACCACACTGGTATCTTGGACTCACGGATGGGAAAAAGTATACATAGGGTTGTGGGGGGTGGGGGAGGGAAGCCGGGGATTAATTTGGCGTGGGACATGGGGAATAATTGTAATTTATGGTAATGGGCATTCTGATACTGTTTATTTGACCATCACATCCTGGGTGCAAGTGGTGAAGGTCAGCTTTGTACCCCATGAATATGCATAACCAATAAAATAAAATTAAGAAAAAATATATATACATAAGAAATGCTTTGATAATACCTAGAAAGATGTGTATTTCTACTGGAAAAAAAAAAAAGTTTGTTTCACCGGAAGTCCAACTGAATGCAGTATATTTTCTGCTTTTTTATTAAATGTATCATTTTTATATGAATAGTTGACATGTTGTTTGACCTGAAAGTGACGAAAGGTTACATACATTACATTCAGTAAAATACTTCTTGAATGAATACGATCAAAAAAATGTGTTTTATTATGTACCAAAAAGCCAAGCCTAAAGCCCAAATGGCTTAGATAAAACAAAAATTAAAATTGTACCACTACTTTTAGAAAACGTCCTTCATCTGTAAAAACAATGTAAGTAATACTTCCCCTAAATCCATATAAAAATGACTAATTTTGAAAGTTTGTTTAATACAGTGAATTCACACTTTTTCCCCCTTTCATGTTTTTTAGCATCACTTTTCCTGTACTAAATCCGAGGGTATTTCAAATGTTCATGGAAAAATAAAATTGAAAGCTAGTATAAATCTTTCCATGAACTTTTTGAAAACCTCTCCTTTGTATACTCATGTCCTATAGATATATATATATAAATGGATTATCAGGCTCTACCACACATGTGCAAATCATTCGTTGGTCAAAGCTAGTACTGTGCATCACTGAAGTAGTGAAATTCCCATTAAAATGAAAGGAATTAAAGGACAAGAGTTTCACTGAAACATAACTTTACTGTTTTGTCAGATATTCCAAATTTTACAGAAATTTGTACCATACCATAACACTGAATTGCCATAAAATGCAACATGAGTCTGAACGTAAATCGTTAACTAAGGAACAAATGTTTTAGACATACTAACAAGACCCTAATTTTCTTTGGTCTGATCAATACCCATGTTGATGTACGCATTGGAAAAAATGCCAACGGCAATACTCATGATATATCTGCTTATGTTGTTGCTACTTTTATCAGGGAAAAACCTATGTGATGCAAACGACTTCATTAAATTCATTTAAATCTGGAGCTACGTCCATACAACAGTGGGAGTTATGGTGTCAGAAGAGAATGTAAATGCCATAATCTTTAGCATGTTAAATAATGTAGCAAAAATCTAGAGGAGGTAGGGGGAGCATAAGACCCATTCCCTTATTTTTCTTAGAAAAGAGTACTCATGTGTGACTGATACATGGAGTTGAAACGAATGAATCTTAACCTCCTAACAGTCTTCATTACATTTTTTTATTAACCATCAAGGGAACTTCTAGGCTATGTCTTTCATATTGAAGAAACATTCATCTGAAATTCAGCAAGTCTCTCAATTTTATTTCTGTTCCCTACTTTTCCCGTTAAATCCAGGTACAGCTAAATGTGTTACTCTTGTAAAAGCATTTACTGTGAAGCTCTTTTTTATAAAACTTTTTATCTCTATCCTAATCACCATATATTTGGGATGATGTTCACTCAATGTTAAGGATGGATATTTATAATTGATGTGACGATTATTTTGCCTTTTCTTTTTTGGACTTTGATGTATTTCTTGACTTTTTTTAACAATGAGAATTTTTCATTGTGATTGAAAAGAATTCAAAAGATATTAATTCATTTACAGAATCTACTTTATGAAGTCTGACTTTAATATATTTCAACCAACAGAAATACATTTTAGTGGAATAATGGATTCAAGGAATCATGGTGAAAATTCCGAGCACTTTATTTCAGTTAAATGACTGATATATTTTTGTAATATAACAGGAAGTAGCTGAGATAAACAAGTACAAGATTATGTCTTTGAAAAACCTGATTGGTGAATAGACAGTTCCATGAACTAGAGTTGAATATTTGAATTTCCAAGACCATTAGTGACCTCCTATGCTGTTTTAAAATCAGGGATCTCAGGATCATGACAGCCATATGGCTTGCATGGAATTTGTGTTAGTCTGTCTTCTCACATTGGTGTATCAGAGGATCAGGAGCCACAGTGATCTAAGTAAATGGGTTGCAGTGATTGAGATGTCTCCAAGCAATTAAGAAATGGAAAAAGAAGAAACCATTGCTTCCTAGCAACAAGAAAGGGAAGAGGGTGAGAAGATTGATCTTACATTCCTTTTTTAAGGAAAAGAAAAGAGGCACGCTGTTTGTAATATAATTAAATGGAATGGTGGTGCTGCGGTATTTTGACAATCTACTGAGCAGTTACAAGTAAGAGCATGTTTTCAGAAATGTGCAAACTATGTCTGGAACACCAGAATTGGTATACAGCTTTTAGAACATCACTCCCGGGCTGGCCCGGTGGCGCACTGCTACAATGCGCCGCTTGGGAGCGTGGCGGCGCTCCCGCCGAGGGTTCGGATCCCACATACACACCGGTTCCCACTCACTGGCTGAGCGAGGTGCGGGTGCAGCACCAAGGGTTGTGATCCCGTTGCCGGTCCTGGTCCTGTACGGGCGCGACACTGAGGGTTGCGATCCGTTGCCGNTCTCTATATAATTTTTAGGTGTTTCTTTTGTTCACTCTTAAAAGAACTTTCAAAATTGTCATGATTATGTTATCTATTAATGTTGTTTTAACATCTTTCAGAAATAATTGGTAATAAGGCCTCTGTAGCCATGGCTAGTTCTGATGTGAAACCAAAATCAATCAGTCGTGCCAAAAAATGGTCAGACGAGATAGAAAATCTGTACAGATTTCAACAAGCAGGATATCGGGATGAAACTGAATATAAACAAGTAAAACAAGTTTCTATGGTAAGATTTATGCCTCTGCAAACCTGAACTCAAAATGAGTTTGTTAGATGGTGAGAAGTATTTAAAAAACAAAAAACAAGGAACCAGAGAGTAACTGCAGGGAGACTAAGGCCCAGAAGAGTGATTTGCCAGGCACATTGGGGAAAAGGTTAGTCCCTCAGCTGGGCACATTCAAGATTTTCCAGCGTTTATTGAGCAACTATGCTCTGCTAGATGAATCTTTTATGGCAGACCATGTAAGCAGGCTCTTTTTCACTCACTTAGGTAATTATCAGATATTCAGTTTGTTGTATAAACATTATTTCCCTCCTATTCTTTTTTATTTTAACCATGAATTGGAAAGGAGTTAATTTCTGTTTTTTTTTTTTGTTTTTTTTTTTTGTTTGTTTGTTTTTTTTATGAAGGGTATACTTGACAACAAAAACTATTAAAGAACAACTCCTGATTTGGGCTGTACATTGCAGGATTTCCTGAGACAGGAGAGACAGAGCTTTGCTTTACAAAGGCTAGACCAAACTCCAGACCTGGGCACTAGTTTATAATGTGATTTTTTGGACTCATTCTACTGCCTACCAGGAGATGGAGAATTTAAGATTATTATAGAATTTGACATAGTATTCATAAACATATCAATTTCTGGCTTTGGGGTTAAAACACAGGGTTTATTATTAACTCAGCTTTTTATTTTATATTGTATTTTTTATTATTTGCCATTTTTCAGAGACTAATTCATGTATGGATTTTTCAGACCTTTATAATCTCTTCTTCTTCCTTTATTCTGCTCTTTGGCCTCTACTTAATATTTCCTGAAAAAGCAGATAGGAAAAGAAATGGAGACAATACAGAACTAAAATGTAATAGGCTCTTTAATTTAAAAGACAATAATTTAACAGACATTATTAGGATCAATGAGGAATGAAGTTAAAAATGCTGATCATACGAAGATTTGACTACTGTGACTCTCATATCTGTCCCTTCATATCAACTAACGTTTTACTCTGTCCCCATTACCGAAAGGTAGTTTTCCGTATTGTACGATCTACAGCTTTTAAATAGGTAAAACACAAGCATTTTAATGCTGTTCAAAAATAAACTTCATACCTTGCCTTAAGATTGGTAGATATACAGGACCCAGGATCAACATACTTGTGTTCTTGTCACTCCTGCTCCCACACCCCCAGGCCCAAAAATGTTGTTATTGAGATAAAATCAGATTTAAGAGAACACAAAGAACTTCCTTAAAGGGAAGGTCACAAAAAGCAATTAAGAGGATTAGGTGGGTGTTTTTGTGTGTGCGCGCATGTAACAAAGGGGAAAATAGCCCTATTTATGACTTGTCAATCATAAAGAGGTTCTTGCATTTCAATTCAGTATGGATTTATTGGTTACCTCCCATGTGCAAATGTCTGTGCCAAGTGCTTTAGATGATAAAAAATAGGTACGAGAGTGCCTGGCCTCAAGAAATCCAGTGAACCAATGTGCAGGCTTCAGAGTCAGTTGGTTCAAGGTTTGCACCATGGCTCTGCCTCTCATTAACTGGGTGGTCCTGAAAGGGTTGTTAACTTCATTGAATCTCCATCTCCTCAACTGTAAAATGGCCATGGCAGAGCCTGCTTTAGAAAATTGTCACAAGAATTCAGTGAAATCATGTATTTGATGTGCCTGACATTGTAGGGTTCGATAATAATTTGTTGAGTGTATGAATAGTGAGTGTTGAATGAATGATAGCTTTTACTCTCATCTTGGAGTAGAAGATAAGTAACAAAAACAACAAAACCTTTCGC